CTGCAGAGCAGAGAGCCTGATATAGGGCTCTGGGATCATGACCTGAGCTGAAGGCAGAGGCTTAACCCACTGAGCCATCCAGGTGCCCTCCAAGTTTATTTTGAAGCAAATCCTAGACATTGTATCCTTTCATCTATAAATATTTTAATATGTATCTCTAAAAGATAAGGACTCTTTAAAAAAAAATAGCTCAATTTCATTATTATACTTCTCAGAAATTAGCAGTAATTCATTAATATCACCATTAATATATTAATATCATATTAAATCATTAATATCATTAATATCATATTAAATGTTCAAATTTCCATAATTGCCTTAATTTTATAGTGTGTTTTTTAGACTCAGGATCTAAATAAGGTAGAAACAATGCAAATTGGTTTGCTTTTTAGTCCTCTCTTTTTTAGTTTAATTGTTATTTTTTAGTGTTTAGTGTATTCACAGAGTTGTGCACACATCACCATAATCAGTTTTAGAACATTTTTGTTAGTCCAAAAAGAAACCCCTGTACCAGTTAGCAGTGGTTCCTCATTCTCCCTCCTCTTAGCCCCAGGCAACCACCAGTCTGCTCTATCTCTCATTTACCTGTTCGGAATATTTCATATAGATTGAATCATACAATACATAGCCTTTTGCATTTGGCTCTTTTCACTAAGTATCGTGCTTCTAAGCTTCATCATACTGTAGCATGTAACTGTAGTTCATTGTATGAATATTCTACATTTTGTTTAACCATTGTTAATGGTTAATGGTGACATTTGACTTGTTTGCTCTTTTTGGCTCTTCTGAATAATGCTGCTGGGAACATTCACGGACAAGTGTTTGTGTGGGCCTGTGTTTTTATTTCTCTCGGGTCCATATCTAAGAGTAGAATTGCTGGCTCTGTTTGAAGAACTGTCAGACAGTTTGCCAAAGTGGCTGCACCATATTCCATTCCCACCAGCACTGTATGAAGTATGAAAGTTCTGGTTTCTTCACATCCTTGTCAACAGTCTTTTTGATTGTAGCCATTCTAGTGGAATGGTGAGATGCTATTTTTTTGTGGTTTTGATTTGCATTTCCTTAATGATCAATGATGTTAAGAGTCTTTTCATGTGTTTATTGGCTGTGTTTAGCTTCTTTGGAGAAATGTTTGTTGAGATCCTTTGTCCATTTTTAAACTGGGTTTTTATTGTTGAGCTGTAAGAATTCTATGTAATCCTGGATATAAGTCTCTTAGATCTATTACTTATAAAACTTTTCTCCCATTTTTTTTTCTTTCTTGATTGTATCCTTTGAGGCACAAAGCATTTTTTTTTTTTTAAGCTAATACATTTCCCTTTCATCTCTTTCTTTTTACCCCTTGCAATTTTTGTTGAAGGAAACCGTTCACCCTGGTTGCAGGATAGATTTGTTTCTCTGTGGGATTTTGCCAACGGCATCCTTTTGGTGTGGTTTGACAGGTCTCTCAGTCTCTTGTATTTCCTATAAACTGGCAGTTAGCGTCTACTGTATTTTGTAGTTGAAAATGATTGAGTCATCAGAGGTCAGATGGTTTCAAGGCCAAGTGCATTAAGTGCAAATAATCAGGAAGTGGAATGCCTAGGTAATGCATATACAAGATAAATGAGTATCCTGAGGCCAGAAACAACTATGATGACCATTAACAGGGGAGATGATGTGAATATGTGGTGTGATCACATGATGAAAAACCTCAAAGACGTTAAAAGGAAAAAGATGGATTTATGCCCATCATTGTAGCTATATCTCAACATTAACCTTTTCTAAAAAGAAGCAGAGTGCAGAATTATACTAA